ATTGCATTTTTTGATACAAAAAAGCTTTGCTTTAAAAACTAATAAAAAATAAAAATTATATAAAAAAAATCTTAAGAAAACAATATTTAAAGAAGAGGTTTTTTTTTTTTTTTTTTTTTTTTTTTTTAAATATATACTATAAGCGTAATTGTGCGTAAAAAGTTTTCAACTTTACGTGAATTTGCAGATAATTGTTTTCAAGTTCAAATTTGGTTCATTTTTCTTTCGGGGGAAATATTATTACTTTTTCTTTTTTTTTTTTTGAAAAAGACCGAACCGTTTAGTCTAATAACTTACGGTGGTTGCGTTACGATGTTATAATAATCAGTAATATATAGCTTACAACAAAAACGTTTTTACACACATGCTTTTGTTGAAGAGGAAATGGAGAAGCTGAGAGAGGGGGGATCGAATGATAATATCGTAGTGCTATTAGGTTATTAGGATGATACATGGAGACCATAAAAATTACATTATAATGCACACAAACTAAATTTTGTTTTCCATTGTTTTAAAAAAGGCCGAAAGGGATACAAGGAGAGAAAGAAAGCGAGGGAGAATTTTTTTTACACAAACTCTAAGGGACATTTAGACTATACATAAATTCAACTAAAGAAACAAAAAAAAAAGAAAAAAAAAACAAAAACAAAAAAAGTCTTACATGAATATATAAAATTAATTATCTAAGTATCAAAAATAAATAATAATTCGGTATTTGCCGTAAAGTTTCAATTGAGTGCAAAGAAGTTGCTGCAGTAACAAGTTTTTTTTTCTTAACGCGGTAACTAAAAGGATGAGTAAGGGACTGTGGACTTTAGGATGGGGAAATTGGGAAATTGTTGTATAAAAAATCATAGTAAAAAATAAAGTCATTTTTTTGGGGGGGGTTGGACACAGTAAAAAAGGAATCAACAAATAATGCAAAAAAAAAAAAGAAAAACTAATTAATATAACAATATAAGTGACGACGAAAACGACGACAATAACAAGTACTCAAATAAAATATTTTTTTTTTTTTGTATGTGTGTATGGTGGTGGCGGTCAATGCAGGCAATGTAGGCGGGATATATAGTCATTTAAGAGAGTTACGGTGCATGGTGACGGCAGCATTACTTTGTAACTTAGACCATTAGACGCGAACGAAATTTTTTTGTACGCTGCGTTGTACCATTAGCACCGTCACTATTCCATGATTTCGATTTGGAACGAAAATGCCGGTATTCATCGTAGTAAGATGGTTCCAACATGGGTCGATAGGCGTGCGGTTCACATAGATCAGCGTAATTTTCGAAAAACTCCTTGTAACCATTGTGTAATAAATAAACTTCCGGATAATCAAGAGCCGGATATGAGCTTGTATTGCGAGCGCGATCGTGGTTTCTTAAGAAGCGTGACAATTTGGGACCACGTTCTGATGAAAATTCACAATGAAATATAATAATATTACGTTTGCTAGCCTCTGCGTGTCCTTTGTTACTCTTTTTTTGGGTTAGAAATTCTCCAATAATTTGCTCCTGCGTATACAAGTTCTTTGCCCCACGAATATGACCGCCATCGAACTCGTACGGATAACGACAGTCTATAATTTTGTAAGTGGTAATTTTGTCATCGTATTCTCCTTTCAATAAACGCGCAACAGTACTGCAGGATATTGATTTGAGGTCTCGATGACGACCTTCGACGAGTGGTAGGACAAAGGGTCTGCTGAAGTCACCAATTAGATCGGGTTCGTCTTTATTGTCGAATCGAGCCAGGGCAGACATAATCTCTGCATCATTCATCGATATACAGCGACGTAAAATATTGGTAGCTGCTAGCGGAACAGTAGGTTTATATGCAGGAATAACATTGGGAATAGGAGCGGGCGACGCAGGACCATTGCCAGCAATTCCGGTAAATGAGCCATCGAGATTTTCTTTTTCAGCGTTGCGGTGACGTTTTGGTTGTATGGGTGAGCAGCTATTTGATGGCGGGTCCGGGCGCTTAAAGCCACAACTGCTGGTGTGACGTGATGGGCACGGGGTGTTGCTATTGCTTTTGCTGTGGCCACTAATGCCGGTATTTACTACCTCGGGAGTCTTTGGTTCATGATACGATTGCGTATTTTCATTCATACTAAGACAGCGACGCGCCGAAGGACGACGGGTTTCCGGCGGTTTGGGAGGCGAATTCTTTATAATACGCCCGCTAATCAATGAATTCATATTACTTGGAAAATTGAGGGCCACATTTGGCTGATCCAATGATTCCATTTCAAAAAATTCCTTATATTCATCATCCAAAGACGATTCCGTCGAACCAGACGACAGACTTTGAAGTATACGAAATGCTTTGGCTGGTGTTTTTGAACTTGCCGAGGTGCTATCTGCTTTTTGCGATTTATCAGACTTAGATACCTGACCATGAACAAGGCGAGCTTGTAAGGATTTTGGTCGTTCCACCACTTGGAAGCGTTGTGGTGAACCTTCGGGCGATAGTAATCTCATTAAAGGCGGACTTGCGTTAAAAAGCCGATCCCTAGTTGTCGTTTCGTCGTCATAAAACGACAACTCATCTATGACCATATCTTGCATCGAAGAGTCCATATTAAGACGCCGCATGGAGCCCGGTCGAGGGATTTGAAAACTGCAAATATGCAATAAGTTATAAAATAAATTTTTTTAACTATTAACAAAGTAAAAAAAAAATATGTATATATTCGCCATACACTAAGATGCGGACTTTTAAAAGAATATTATCCTTAAGAATAATGAAACACTTCCGAAAAGTACGAGATTGCGCGAGTACGCTCATGTTGAAGGCAAGAACACCAAACTAGAACTGACTGCATAGCTAAGCGGGTGTTATTCGCCAGACTGACGCAGTTTGCTATTGAAAGATATGTTGAAAAGAGGGTTCATTCAACTCTCTATTTTCTGCTGGTTGTTGTTGTTTTACTTTACCACAGACAAAGAATTAATGATCGAAACACAGTACGTTCACATTAAGGGTTGATTGTTGCCGTTTTAAATTATGAGAGCAGAATTGAACTATTTCCGAACGAGCGTTGGCAAGAAATGGGACCGGGACAAAAACGCCATGTGCTTGTTTAAAAATCTTCGAATGTGTGTAAACAACAGGAGAATTAAGAAATAATGCGAAATATAAGGACAGTCAGAGAGACAGACAAACCGTCGCATTGATATTTTCACTTCACAGTAGACGCGTTAAAATTGATCTTTTTTTTGTTCTAAAATAGCCATAATATATATGTGCATGAGTATGCTCGTACTTATAGGTCTCAGTGTATGTTTGCAAATAAGTGGGGGAAGCCCTTTTCACGCTACCTTACACACAGGCGGACGCATAATGCAAACGTTGTACACATTTGGCCAAGCGAAACAATAATAAATATGTAAACAAACTTAAACCTCGCATATATTATCAACATGTCGTGTTAGTATGTGCTAAAGCAATAGTTAAGTTGGCCATATATATGAAGGGAGTTTTTTTTTCCACTTTGCGGAAAAAACATAATAAAACTTATCGAAGCAAAACTTAAAGCACATCTGCTTTTTATTGCACGGCAGGGTTTAGTGGCTGACTGGCACACGATTATTGGGTCAGGTCCAGAAAAGCGACAACAACAACAATAATCATCAAAAAAAAAAAAAAAAAAAAAAAATGCTTGCAATAGTGCTAATAAAGCATCACTCACAACTACATTTACGTGTACAAAACACATGTACATTTTCATTTGTATGAGGCCGCGTAAAGACACCGGTTCTTAATTTTATGAATGAAACCACTTTTTTTTTTTTGCTGTTATATTTATGCTGCGCAATGATAAAGTTAACAAACGGGCTCCATGCACAACAAACACGGATAGCACACACTATACACTCACTATAGACAACAAAACACGCAAACAATTAAGAAAAGGCCCAAATTCAGTGGGCAGAGCTTTGCTCAAAGAACAAGTATGTGGGAAAAAGCTTTTCATTTTGTTTTTGTTGTTTTGTTTGTTGTCGACTAAGAAGAAGAAGAAGAAGAAAGAACTTTTGCTTTCATTTGAAGGCCGCCTTTTTGCAGTCGCATACATACATGCACACGCGCGAAAAAACATATGTATATACATATGTTACTGCAGAGATTCTAACTTACAAAAATATCATATTTGCACATATGGGAGATACGAATGCTCGGTCGTTCATTCGTTCGCTCTATTATTCAAGTGCATTAAAGAGAACGAAAACACAGGGAGATATTTTAAAAATTGGCTTGCAACGAAACTTCTCATACCTATCGGGTATAATTCGATGGGTTTTAATTAAAATTTGTTCAAAAAAAAATTCAAAACAATTTCAACTCTTGCAGAAAAATTGTAAAATTTTTTCTTTTTTCTTGTTTCCTATTTATTTTTATTTTTTGTGTTTAAGCGAATTTCACCCATTTGGGAGATACTTATCAATAAGAGCTGATGGTAAAATTTATAGGATTTTTGTTATACTTGATGTGAGCCATATGTGTGTGTTATATGTAAAATTCAAAATATAATTTTTCACTTTAGCTTCGCTTTCTTTCTTCCTCAGTCTATTTGTGAATTTTCGGTTAAAAATTCTAAAAGTTTACACTTTACTTTATAAATATTTCAATCAAAAAAATTAATTATAGTAAGTGCATTTGTGTTGGGGGCCGCCATATAATTTCCGTCAAATTTAACCATATAACCATCTGTGTGCGGACGACGATGGGTTGTTAATAAAAATGTTTTGGCATTTTTCGTTTCTTTTCGATTATTTGTAGAGGTGTTTAAAGCCGGATAAATATCACTTTCAAACTTGATCATACACGGATCTTAAAGAATGAATACAGAAGGTTTAAGGAAATTATAGTGAGAGCTACCGTCCTACGGTGTAAATCAATTCGCTGAAATTGCCTTTAATTTTCTATCTCATCTTAGAGATACTGGGATCCTAATTTTTCACTTGTATATCACAAAGCACACTTAAAAGATTAATACTAATATGCCCGGTAAGAGGGAATGCTACTTTACCTTTGGTAATCCATGGCTATGTCGACGGACTCCTCGATTATAGATTCCCAAAGCATTTTGAATTCGGAACGAATTTTGTGAATGATTTAATTTGGGAAAACAATTAACTTTTTTTCCTCAGGATTTTGTCTTGCGACAACTTAGCAAAAATTGCTACAAAGCAATTCCTTTTATATGAAATTTTGAATTTTTTTTTTCGTTTATTTAATTGTAAACACGAAAATTTCATCAAAATTTATATTTTTGATTAAATATCCTTTTCATCGAAAAACCAATAATTTTTTTAAAGTTTATCATTTGGTACAAAACAAAAAAAAAAGCCGGCGGGTTTGGTTTTATTTGGAATAGAAAGATTGTGTTTTTCTTTTTTGGAAATTCATGTCCTTTGAAGCATACTTTTTTCCTTTTTATATTTGATTAATAATTTTTAAGTACAATTTAGATGAAATTTTGTTTAATTTTCGAATATCCCTTTTAAGCAAGGCAGGCAAGCGGCAGGCAGCAGGCCAAGCAGGAAAGTTATTAAGTGGTAATCAATTTGCTCAGCTGCCTTAACGAACACCACACTACAACGATCAAGAAAAGAACTCGAAATGACTGATTCTTCAATTGTGTGTTCTGTTTATATACTCCGTCTGTCTTTATTGTTTAGGCAGAAAGTTTTAAGTTTTATTTTTCTCTCATACACTCATAGGGGGATATAGAGTAAGCATGCATATATATTGAATTTTGTCTACCGGCAAAAACAAAGTTACTTCAATTTGTGACTTATATGAGAGAGAGTAAAAACAAACAGCAGCGGCAATCAGCTGTGTGTATGAATTTACGAAACGAGCCAGAGAAACAAACAAATTCTCAGAAAAAATCTTTGAGCATAGATGGGGCTCTCGTTTTTGATTTTTGTTCTTGTTATTATTATTATTATTATTAGTTAGTTAGTTAGTTAGTTGTTTTTGGAAGCGAAAAGAGAGAGAGAACGAGTTTAATTGAGCCCTTTCTCACATATTTATCATTTACTTAAAGTTAGTTATGTTAGTGTTAGTGCAAAGAAAATAATTGTTGTTTTTATTCTGCTTTTAGCACAATTCAAATCAAATCATATGATTTTTGTTATTGCTTTCGCATTAACATAACAAGTACGTGCTACTACTATTATTGCAATTAACATGTTTTGCATCTATCTCTTTTTCTTTCTCATTCATATCTTATTCTTCTTTATACATATGATCAACATTTTACGGTGACATATGATATGAAAGGCAGTAACAAAGAGAACAAGTAACTCGATGAGAGAGTGGTAGAACAAGTGCAGACAAAGCTCAACAAAAGAATGAAAAGAAAATAAACAAAAACAATATCAAATAAAAAGACAAGGAGAAGAAATAGCTAGAGTCGCCTTAGAGAAAAGTAACAAAATCATGGTAAAAGAACTCAGGCAAGGAGTGAGAATTTGTGCGCATTCCTTAAAAATCCGTTGTAGTTACTTTTGCTTGTGTTAGCTGGCTCGCCTTATTCAGGTTCATCATCATGGTAGACACGATATTTAACAAGGAGGTCTTGCTAAATTCGTGCCAACAACCAATGATAGCAACAACAAAATCAACTATCAAAAGAAGAAGAATCTCTGCAAGTCATCAGCTGAGTTGAGCTAAAACCAAGGCTTTGGCTTTGGTTTGCTTTGCTAAGGTTTCCATTTTTATATATATATGCATACACATATGCATAAGCATATATGTGCACATAATTATTTACCCCGTTTTTGCTTCTCCAAGCATTTATAATATAAAATAATTTTATACATATATTTAGATATATACATCAAAGATTCATTATAGAGTCAATGCATATATATACATCTAAACAGGATAGAAATTGAAAAAATAAATTATCTTTGTACATTTTGTATATATAGATATATATATATATAGATATATATAGATATATTATACATAATATGTATACAGGGAAGTGTTTATTTAAACGATATAGGAATTTTAATAAATGTTTAATTTCTATGGGCTCTTATTTACACCAACGTAATATGCATAACATGCTAGGCTTAATCTTCTTTGGACGACAAATTTACATAGTTTTTTTCGAAAAATTTATGCAAAGTAAAGGTAGGTAAGATTTCAATGGAAATTCCTCTCTACCTAATAAAACTGAAATTCTGTAATATTTTCTATGTTCCTAGATATCTATTATAACAGGTTTCCCTTAGTTAAAGGAATTTCCTTTGATTTAATTCTTTATTTAAAAAAAAATAAAAGAAAAAAGCACGCACAAACATATAAACACAAACACTTAAACACATAAGCACAATATAAATGAAAAAAAAAAAAAGCACAGGCATATATAAATTTCTATTGCATTCCTTTTCTTTACCAATGAATGCAAAAAAAACTGTTTGAGAACAAATAGATAAAAAAAAAAAAAGAAAAAAAAATAATAATAAAACAGACGTAGACGCAAAAATGTTGCTGCTGTGGTATCCACTTCTTTAAGCTAAGGAGGCTGTGCAAAGAATGTTAAGCAAAATTTTGGCGCGTAAGCTTTTATACCCGACAGCTCCAAGCCCAAAAAAGCCCAC